GGAAGGGGCAGGTTTCCTCCTGGTGGCACAGCAGACCACTGGCAGCTGTGGCACGGGAGTAGATTCCCTGCTTTACCTCCCTGTCTCTTCCTACCCCCAAACCATGCACCCTAAGGGCTGGGGCTTCCTGCTGGGGAAAAGCTGGTATCTAACACAAGGAAAACAACATGTAAAGGGCAAATGGGGTGTTAGAAAAGTCATGAGGGAGCCAGAGAGGGACAAGTGCCATGTGTATGGGAGAGGAGGGCTCAGGGCTTCCAATGCGGAGCTTTTCCTAATGTCATGATATATTCAGGGACCGCCCTGGGGGCAGCAACAAGCTGAACCTTGGGCCTTTACCTGTTGTTCATTAAATGCATGATTTGTGTTTTCTTCTGGGGTAGTCAGGCTTAAAACGGCTAGAACCAAGATGCTCCATTTGAGCCTACTGACGCCCAATAGGTAACTAAAAGCAGAACAAAGCTTGACTTCCATATTGTACCCTTTGTTACAGTAACTTGGTCCAAGTCCTTTAGCTTGAATGGTGTTTGTTAATCATTTAGGGAATGTCTGTCTAGGAGCTGGCTGGGCAGGGCTGATTAGCCCTGGATTTACCTGGTCTATCCCCTTCAAGACTGATGACAGTGAGATAAGAGGTTTATGGGGACTTTTAGCTCTCCCTAGAAGCCTCTGACCATTGTCCTAAACCTGTGATTTTCTGGAGTCTAAGAAGGCTGAAGCAGGGCTGGTGAGATGGCTCAGTGGTTTGAAGCACCTACTTAGAACAAGCTTGGCAAAGCACAGGGACCGTGGTTCGGTCCCCCAGTGCCACATGCCAGCCAGCCCCGCCCCCTGGTGGGCTGAGCTGGCCACACACACAAACACACACACACGCACACACACACACACACACACACACACACACACAAATAAGTAAATGAATAAAATTAAAAAAAAAAGAAGGCTGAAGCATATATGAGAGACAGCCATAGGCAGAGACAATCTCTTCCTAGTCAACAACTTCTCTCTCTCTCTCTCTTTTTTTTTTTTTTTTGTAGAACCTGGGATTGAACTTAGGCCCTTGCACTTGCCAGGCAATGTTTACAGACATTGTCTCATTTGATCCTCACAATAATTCCATAGAGCAGATAAAATCCCTACATTGTGCTTTGGACAACACTTTAATGAAGGTTTTGCATGAGTTGCCCAAGTTAATATAGCAAATTAGGGGGCTGGTGAGATGGCTCAGTGGTCTAAAGCACCTACTAAGAACAAGCTTAGTGGAGCCGGGGAGACAGCTCAGTAGAATATAGCGCTTGCCTGGCAAGCACAAGGTCCTGAGTTCAATCCCTGGTTCTGAAAAAAAAAAAAAAAAAAAAAAAAAACAGGCTTAGTGATAAATACATCCATCCTTACGACATCCTTATGGCATGTAATTGGTTTTGATTTCACACTACAATTAATGTATTTGAGGTGGTTTTAGTGACCAAAGAGCAATTAAAAGATATCACTGAGGGGCCAGCCAGATAGCTCAATGCATTAAAGTACCTACTTAGGCAGACATAGGGACAGGGGTTTGATCCCCAGTGTGCCCTGCTGGCCCCACCCCTGGGGCACGCTGAGACAGTGATTGAGACTGGACATGGGGATGCGTGCCTATAATCCTAGAGCGTGGCAGGCTGAAAACAGGAGGATCACTACAAGTTCAACCTGTGTAGTGAAAACCTGTAGACACTGTTCTAAATACTTAAAAAAAAAAAAAAGAAAATATTACTGAGATACAAACCCAGACACCCCGAGCTCAGAGTCTCTGTGCTTACCCACAACTCCATACTATGAGGTGAAGAACATCTAACACTTACATTACACATAGTTGGTTACTTATTGATACAATTCAGTGACAAATGAAATGGAACAACAATCTGAATGCATTTTCTCATTAAATTGTCATCCCCCTTGCAAAAGACATTATTGACATATATAACCATTGAATTAAATAGTGGCAACTATGATTCTTCCTACTTTCTAAACATTAAAAATTAAAATAAGAATTTGGGCAACAATAAAGATTCTCTGATATAGTAGGACCTTCTTCAATTGTTATTCAGAGAACACAATGCTAAAGTGCTTTGGGAAGGTTTTAAAAAGAGCAGATAGTCAGAAAACAAATAAACAAACATCCCAGTCATTCTTATTTCAAAGGAAAAATGAAAGAGAAACATATTTAGAAAATAAGGAAAATGAAAATGAAAATTATTAAAGGAAATTGACAATGGAAAATATCTATTCCAAGGAAGAGCTCACTAATTCTTCAAGCAAAAGCATAGATAAGAAAAGGGCTACTTTTGGAGAAATTGTGGCTTGGCTTTTGTTTCTTTACCTTTCTTTCTCCAGAGTGATCAGTTGTGGCTAATCCTGGTTGCCAACTCAATTGGCTTGAGAAATACCTAGAAGATTAGTACAGCAAATTTCTGGGTGTGCCTGGGCCATGGCTGGGCCTATGTGACTGTGGGTAGGTTCCTGGCCCTTTGCTATCTGGCTTTTTCCTTGTCTGCTCTGTCTCCTGACTGAAAGAACATGAACAGCTTTTTCCCAGCATTCCCTTCTGCAGTGACATTTGTGCCTTGAAGCCGGATGACCATGGACTGAAACTGTTGAGTCTGTGAGGCGCTTGTAGATTCCTGAGAAAGCCATATTCTGTTCTCATTACTGAATCCTCACTCAGCAGAGTGGCCCTCCAGGAAGGATAAATAGGAATTGCTAGTAATGAATGTTATGTGATGCTGGCAAGGTAAACTATACATGTCTATATGGAGAACTAACCATCAAAGCTGTGAAGTGTGCTTTTGTATACTTCTTACCATAGATTTCTCAGCAATAAGCCTTACTTGGCACATTGGATATATTTTAGTCACTACTTATTATTTGTCCCCTCAGCTCCCTTTAGAAATACAGGCTCCATTAATTTAGGAACTTTATTAACTCCACCTAGATAGGTCCAATCAGGTACTAAGTATTTAGCAAATATTTTAAGTGATTGAGTGAACAAATGATACAATCTGAATACCAAACATTTAAATATCTTCCATCTTTCCTCCCATAGGAAGAAAAATCCTGTGTTGTTAAGAAAATCACATTTAATTAGCAATCCCTTTTTTGGAGAGGGGGGGTACTGGGGATTGAACTCAGGGCCTTGTGCTTGCCAGGCAAGTGGTTATTCTACTGAGCTATTGCTCCAGCCCCCTTTTCATTCCCTAGTGAAACCAAAATACACGGAATGGGTACCAGGACACTCAATATTTATTGGCTAGTTGGTCAGTTTGTCCTGTAACATATTCAACAAAACTCACAGGCAGCTGGAAGATGAGGAGAACTTTTCTTCAATACTCTTAAAAGATATTTCTGGGTATTCCCCAAATAAAATTAATAATGTGAATACTTCTGTGGAAAGATCAAATTTAATTCACCTCCATTTGGGCAGAAGGTCAACTCCCAAAATGAAGCATCAAATAAATTTCTATGAATGAGCAGAAAAGAAAAACTGGCAAGGCCACAGCTCTGTCCACTTCACCTCCCTTAACAGTGTGTTGTATCTTGTAACAGCTGCTGCCGTCAACTCCAAACTTCTATTCAGAGGGGAATCAGTAAGGGCCTAATACTAGTTATGGAATATTTTACTAGTTACTATATATATATATATATATATATATATATGTTTTTCTCTGCACAACTTACAATCTTTTGGGGGAGGAAAATGCTACTTATGTAAAGTAATAGAATAAAACAAAAAGAAAAAGCATGCTGTAAAGTGCTTCCTGGGCTATTTTACATGCCTCCAGTAAATATGGACGTGTAGAGGCAGCAGTTCTCTCCTCCAAAGCTCCACCATCTTTTCCCTGAACTACCAGACTTCCTTGAAAATGGTTTATTAACAGGTCACTTTTCCTAAATGTGCATTTTTGATAGCTGAATTGACCCGTCCATCCTCTCTACTACCCTGGGCCCTGAGCCTCTCATTATGTTAGGCATATGAGGCTCCCAGGTGCCCAGGGCTGCGGAAGGCCTCCTTCCTCTGCCAGCAGCCGCTGTGAGGACTCTGCTTTATGTGGCTTCTGTAATGAAACGAAGCAGCCATATTTCAATGTGAATGTCTTTTTCTCTCTCATGACATAGACAAATGTTGATGTTTACTACAAGTCAGTACATTAGTTGCTAATTAAGTTCCTAGCTGCTCCAGCCAAAACTTGCTGTACTGAATCCAAGAAAAGAATGGCAGCTATGTCAAAAAATAAGTTGTTAGGGGATTTTTGTTGTTGTTGTTTTGTTTTGTTTAAAAAAAAGTTCTCTATTAAAAAATATGGGGAACTACGTCCTGGGAAACAGGAAACCTTGTCTTGGCTGTCTCTTAAACTGACTTGGTGGTCACAATCCCACCAGGCCCTGGCCTGGTCAGAGTTGTATAAACGTTAGCAGGAAGCAACAAACCTTGTTATAATAACTACTCACTTTTTCACACTCGACTCCAAGTTTCCAGAGGAACACATTATTTTTATTCAGGTTTATTTTTGGAGGGGTACAGGCTCCAGGGGTCTGGTGTCTTCTTAGCTTCGTCTCTCCAGCTGTCCCTTGCAGTTCGCCCCTCTGCCTGGGGTAGACCTGCTTGTATTCACCGGCAAAAAGTTAACTACTTTTAAAGGTTTGCGTAATAATCTGGGGCAGTGCCTCTTCGGGTTTGGTTGGGAAGTCCCGAATCACACTTTGTTGCCGTCTGCATTTTAGCTGCCAAGAGCTGCCAAGATCGCTGGAGCAGATCCCCGCGGGACACAAGACACCGGCCCAGGATCCTTGCTGTCTCCCTCCGGACAGAGAGATTTGGTTTCCTTTCCTAATCCCCACGGGATACCTAGCCACCGACCAAGTCTCCTCCCACAAGGAAACACTCTCCTCCCTGAAAGATGACGTTAAGAAAGTCCTGACCAGAGAATCGAAACAAAAACCAAAGTCAGGCAAACTATAAGTACGGCCGGCAGAAGACAGGATCCAAAGCTTCCGGCCCGGAGCGCCGCTGCCTGTCTCGGGAGTCCCGGCTGCGGCCGCCGCAGGACCCGCACCTGCACGCCCGCACCTGCTCGCCCGCACCTGCTCGCCCGCACCTGCCCCGCTGACCCGGGCAGACCGCGCTCGGCGAGGCCGGGGAGCCCCGCGGGACGCTGCGCTGCAGACCCGCATCCGGGCAGCCGGCAGTCTGCGCCCCCCACCCCCGCCAGGGTCACCCGTGGAGCATCCGCCTGGGACTACCCGTCCCCTTCTCCGGGAACCAGAGATGTCAAACGGGTATTCCTCAGAGAAGCGCTTCCTCTACCTCCTCTCGTGCTTCAGGGCGCGAGTGAAAATGAACATCCAGGTCGATCCGGTACTGGACTACCTGACCTTCCTGCCCAGAGACGTGAAGGAGCAGATTGGGAGGACGGTGGAGACCTCTGGGAACATGAAGGCTGTTGAACTGCTCCTGAATACCTTGGAGCAGGGGCAGGGCTGGCCCCCGGGCTGGACCCGGGAGTTCGTGGAGGCCCTGCAGAGAGCCGGCAACCCCCTGGCCGCGCGCTACGTAAACCCCGACCTCACTGACTTGCCCTCCCCGTCCTTCGAGACAGCTCAGGATGAATGTCTCCAGCTGCTGACCCTTCTGCAGCCCACTCTGGTGGACAGGCTGCTGGTCAGAGACGTCCTGGATAAGTGCATGGAGGTGGACCTGTTGACCACTGAAGACCGAAATCGGGTAGGTGTCCTCTCAGGTGTATGAAGCTGGGCTTTTAGACAGTTTGTAAAGCAGGGGCCGCCTGTACGTTTGCCCCATTCCCAAAGGCCTTTGAAATTTTTGAGCAAATCTGGTTTCCTCCTTTTTCAAAAAGAAGCTATGAGGCAGGGAATATAGCTTGAGTTCCTTCCTGGTGATCAAAAAGAGAGGGAGAGAAAAGAAAAAGAAAAAAATACACAGACACTTAAAACAAAATTTTGAAAGTTTGATCACAGAAAACCTAAATTTCTAATACTTTCACCGATATCATGAAATAACATTAGAATAGGAAAGTGCTGTATATTAATAGAAAATGCTATTGAACATTATATGCAATTAGTATAATTTTTAGATGTAATAGCATAGTTCATGTTCAAAATAAAACACAGAAAGCGCTAATATTATTAACACCATCTTACAGATGAGAAAACCGAGATAAATTAAATAATGTTTTCCAAGTCTCCCTGGAAAAATGGTGGCACAGGGAAGGCCCTAATGGTATTCAGTGTTATACCTTCTTTGATGTCATTCCATAGAACTAGAGTCAACAAAATATGGACTGCAAGCTAAATGGAGCTTGCCACTCGCTCTTGCAGGCCCACAGCTGAAAATGGGGTTTAGGAGATTCTTAATGTTCAAGTTTTCAGTGTCAATAAAGTTTTATTGAAACACAGCCATGTTCATTTGTGCATATACTTTTATAACTTCTCTTTTCCAGTTAAACAGATCATACACTGCCCTGAACTACACACTACGCCATTTAGTTTTGATCTAAATAAATTATATGTAACAAATATATCACATACACACACTTTTTAGTAGGAATATCTGCGTTCTGAATCTCTCTTTAATCAGAACGTCTATATTCTTTGGAATCAAAATTTAAACATAATTCATTCAAAAATATGTTGCTATTTGCAGTTTTTCATAATTGTGAAGGATTGACAGATTTTTTTTAAGGTAGTATTTTGGCAGAGTGACTTTTACAGGTGTCTTTATAGCCACTTTGCAGCCACAGTAGCTGTTAATATAATGGGGTTTGCTTAACTGAAAAAAGCAGCTGTAAAAGTAAACAAGTGAACATGCCTATGTTCCAATAAAACTTTATAGACACTGAAAAATTGAAAATTAAAAAACCTAAAGTATTTATTATCTGGCCCTTCAAAAAGTACGTTTTCCAGTTTCTGCCCTGTACTAGGTATTGTGCCATTTAATTTTGATTAAAATAAGTTATACGTTAAAAAACCAGATACACACTTACATACACACTTTTTAATCAAAATATCTGTATTGTAAGTATTTGTCTTTAATCAGAATATCTACATTGTTTGGAATTAAAATTTAATCAGAATATCTACATTCCGAATATTCATCTTTAATCAGAATATGTACATTCTTTGGAATCAAAATTTAAATATAATTCATTGAAAAGTATGTTGCTATTGCATTTTTTCATATTCATAAAGGAAATAGATTGTTTTAAGGGAGGACTTTGGCAGGCTGACTTTTACAAGTGCCTTTTGTGCTTAATATATGCTGACCTGTTTGAACCTGATTTATTCAGGGCCATAAGTTTTGAAAGCCATTTAAACAAATAAACCCATCACTACAGGTCAAAGATTTGTCTCTACTTTACTATGATATTGACTTCTTTTCTTTTTGGTCCATCGGTTGTATCTTCATGACAATGCCAAGCGCCAGACTGATTGGACAGAGCCTATCATCCGAGTTGATCTGTAGTAACTGAAGTTTATGGTCCTTTGTAGACCTGACAGCCACAAGCCCTATCCAAAGGCCCAACTGACGTCCAAATTTGATGGCCAGTTTTCTCAACAAGTAAATTACTTTTCACTGTTGTCTGTAGCATTTATGTCATTTTGTGTATTGAGAATCAACTAGAACGCATTATAGTAGTCCAGCTGGATATGACAAATGTGTACATCACTGTGGCAGAATCTTAATTTGGAAGAAAGTCTGCAGCCTTCAAGCCAGCTGGAGCTGGAAGATGGCATTTCCAGCCACAGTAGCTGTTAGGAGGTCCAGAAGCAACAGAGTCCAGTAACACCACAAAGCTGTTTGTGTTTCGTGGGTATGATGTCCCGATTGCCAGCGAAACAGCACTTCTCCGTATTTACTCTAAATACTTCTGCCTATCAGCATCACTTTTGTCTTGCCTGGATTCAATTTCTGCCAGCTACATTTTATCCAAGTTCTTGATTCTGGCAGGCTTGGAGGCAGCTAACAGTAATGCAAGGGATTTGACACAAAGAAAATAGAGAGTAAGGGGCTTTCACGTACTGGAGCAGTGAGGGGCAAAGTAACCAAAATTTCCCTCAGATTCATACTATAAGGAGGCCTTAGAAGAGTGAAGAGCTATGGATTTCGGGCTCTCTAAGGAGTAACAGTGACTCTGTAAGCAGCTAATCATTTTATATGCATCATTTCACATTATCACTTCCAAAAATAAGCTATGACAATTGTAGAAAGGAAGCACTACGTTTGGGAGAATTTCTGTTCATAAAAGGGTCATTGATGATGTTTTTCTGATAGGATTAAAATATGAAGTGAAGATCATAAGAACTTAGAATGGAAAGATAATGGATTTGAGGTCTATCTTCGCTTCTTAATGTATGTATAACATTGGAAAGTTATTTAGATTACTTTATCCTAACTTTATTCATGAAAATAAACATCATAGCAATTTCTTTTTCTCTCAGTGTTTTAGTTATCATCAAATGAGAAATAGCAATTAAAAAACTTTTATAAATAATAAAGAACTATTTTTATATGGTAACATTGACTTTTATTATGTACTTGGTAAAGGATCTGACTACACAGCTGTACTCACAGTGAGACTCATGTCTCAGCTTCCCCAGCATTGGGGTTACAAACATACTCCACTATGCCTCATCTCAGTGGCTGGCTTAGGGCAACTGGGGGCTGGTGTGGCCTGTGGTGCCAGGGATCGAACCCCTGGTCCCTGCGCTTGCCTACGCAGGCACTTAGCCTGCTGAGCTATTACGTTGACTTTTTATTATCGTTTATCTAGTTACACTTTCTCGTAAAGTTATAATTTCAGAATGTAGATAATTCTTACATATAAAAATTCAGATCTGTGTCTTAAAATTCCTAAATAAAACTTATTTGAAAGAAAAACTATCTTTTCTCTTTCAGCTCCCAGATTTTAGCAAAGGCTCAGAATAGGTTTAGAACTTTTAGAACTTCGTAAGAAGAGAATGTATTTTCAAAAATTTATCTGGAGGAAGAGTTGAAACACTCGATATGTTGAATTTGCTTTCCCAGCAAGCGATGGGAAATAGATGAATGATGCTCACTAGATTTACACATTTGATTTTTCATAATTTAAAATTTACATCAAAATCTGACCTTACTGTAACTAATTAATCAAGTTATCTGAAGATGTTCTTTTACTTTTAGTTTATTTTCTAGCATTCCACTAGACATTTCTACTATCTAGCTTAGAAGCCCCGTCCCCATCTGTCAGCTCCTGCCCCCAATTACACCATGGATCCTGAAAATCATCTGAGACTTCATTCTGTGTCCAATGAATACCCAAAGAACACATTTAGTTCATTGATTTACTCATTCATTCAGTTTGAACTTTTGTGTGGCATCTATGTGCCAGACATGATGCTAGTGGGGGAAAGGTAAGACAGAAATAGACATGACCTGTGCTTTCCTGGAGTTTATGTTAGAATGTTAACCCAAGTTCATTCTTTCAACCAGTAGTTAATGAATGTTTACTGTCCGTGAGGCGTTATTCTAAAGTCTAGGCACTGAGCCATAAGTACAAAAGTCATTTTATAAATCATAGTGGGGTGATGCTTAATGGTAAGGGCATGTTCCTGTGCTGCCCTGCTTCTTTTAGGAGGCTTAGTGACAGCATGGCACATACACACCAGGGTCTTGAACTCTGAAACAAAAATGATAATACAAGTGCTTCCATAGTCTTTTTTTTTTTCAGACCTGGGGATTGAACCCAGGCCCCTGTGTTTGCCAGGCAGCACTTATTCTACTGAGCTATCTCCCCAGCACCGTAGTCTTAATAACAGTTTGAACAGTTGAAGAAAGACACGTGTTTTACCACTGTCTGAAAGTATTAAACACTTGTAGTTTTGATGCGCCCACACACATCCCATCTATGC